CGACTTTGTAGTACAACTTTAGTACGCGGAGCAATCTGTGGAGCTGGAAGCTGAGAACTGGCGACTTTGTAGTATAACTTTCGTACATTATGCCCCGTATTGCGGACGTGCGACAACCGCTGGTGTTGTTGGCTAGTTGTGGCTGCGCACACCTGTGTGCACAATACCTCGTACATCCGTCGTGCACATCACTCTCTTACACCTTCTCTCCCACCCCTCTGTTGTCGGAAGCTGATATCACTTCCTGACAAGGCCGTGTTGTAGAAGCTATTGAGACTCTGACTGCTTTGTGCTTTAGAAACTTAAGATTCGTAAAGATTCATATGTGGGGTTATCCGGTCCTTTAATTGTTTTCAGCACTTCAACCAGTGGAAAAGCAAAATGAAACCGAATAACAAAATGGTGGGAACGAAGAGACATGATTCCGAAGAAACACCCTCAAACTATCTCAAACTGAATTTGTTAGTGCAATCCTGGAGAAGAATCCACAGCGCTTGCAAAAAATAGGATCCTTTGCATGGGCAATGCCTCCCTCTGAATGGTTGTGCCAAGATGACCGATGGAAAGAATAAAATGCTTGTGGATGCTTCTGGCGGGGATTTCAAGTGGCGCAGAAAGGCTACAGAAGCTTCAGCCTCGTTTCCCATTCGCTCTTTGCTTTTTATTGAAATCCTTGCCTGTTGCTTTATCAACTGTAGAGCGCAACCAGGCGCAATTGCACGAGACCTCGGAGCTCAATCGGAGAATGGCGTGGAACTCACGCGACACCGTTCAAACGGAGATCACGATCGCACGATGGTGAAGCAAATAGACTTCGTGATTCATTCACGGTGCAGCCACATCCTGTTTCACCTTAGTACGAAAGGAATTTGAGCCATTGAAGGCAACGCTTTTGGATTTGTCGAAACTTCAGTGCGTAAACTTCAGCCCGTTTCTGATTGCATGGCTCAAGTGCTGGGTTTCACCTCGCACAGACAACCTTAAACCGATTTCCCGAGAGGGAAACACTGGGACCGGGATATCATTGATGGCACAATCCTCAGATGCTAGATTGCTCTTTGGACTCCATGTGACTTCACTCCATGACCTGTTTGAGGTAAGGATTCTCATCTGGTTTACTGTCACTTGGCTTCAGCTCGGCTATCGCTCAACTTTTTTTTTGCATACAAAAAGGTACAACTCAACTTTAGAACAGGTCGCTCAAGCCCAATGCAGCTTTTCTACGACTGCAGCAAGGTATTAAATACCTAGCTTTCATCCCCCTTGGGACTCTTCACATGCCTAGGCGTCGCGTGCTCAATAACCTAGGCAAGTGCAAACTGGACATGGAAAGCATTCAAGGCATTTTGCCTGTAAAGGTGTTTGGCCTGTAAAGGCGGTTTGCCGCGTTTGCCTTTTTCTGAAGAAATTTGATTTGCACGCAGTCCGTTTGGGTGTTCCACCGGATATTTCTAGCTTTGTGGTGTGCATTCAGATCGACTTTGCACCAAGGTTCTCATCTATGCTTGCCTTGCCAATCCCTTGGAAGATTGATCTGAAATGTTTAACTTCAAAGACAACTGCACGCCGGTGATTAGAAAGGTTCAAAAGGAAGCTGATGTCGAAAAATATCTTGTGTAAATGTAAAGAGGGTCACGTTCCAGATTCAGCAGGTGGCAAGATAGTGCAAATTGGTTTGCAACACGCAATGATTGAGCAATTGGTTTGCTTGCTGTGCTGTTGAGAGGCCACAGTCAGCGCGAACGTTTGCGAAGACCCACAGCAGCTCGTCAAAATGCAATGCTGGTCTTTGCAGCTATGAGTTGGTGAACTACGCTTTGTTTTGTTTGCTAAAATGTTTGGAGACAAACAGTGCTCTTAGGGGCACGCAAGCTATATAACAATAAGTATTACATTAATTTACATTATTACATATATCATATAATTATGAGCGGCTAAGTACACGTTCATCGGGTTTGGGAACCGCGAGCCATTCGAGGCTTGCACGGACCACCTTGCTCTTGCAGCGGCATGAGCCAGAGGCCGGGAGATCAGTCGGCAGTCCTCGGTTTGATGCCGACTTCTTCTCGGAGGTAAACAATCACAGCACTGCAAGCAGTCTTCAGTTGGTTGGACAAATGGAACCAGTGTGTTTTGGTGTTCAGTAAGGAACAATGTTTGCTACTACGGGCTTCTGGCATCGCTACTAGGAGCAAGGACGCTACTAGGGGCTCCTGGCCATACTACTAGGAGCAAGAAGCTACTAGGAGCTTTCATCGAAAGGTGACCAAGTTGCACGCACCGCCAGAGCCAGAGCAGGTTGGCATCCAAGACTTCAAGAGTTTCTGGTGTTGTGTGGTACCTATATAATAATTTGTTTAAACCTGGAATACAGGTAGTCAGGTTTGAGAGCACCTTGCAACAAGTTGAAAGCTCACCTGGTCACCTAGATTGGCGATGCTGTTTCTGCAGAGCTGGGCACCGATCTTTTGGGCGATGCCTTGGAACCTACGGAGTGGCTTGGACTATCTTGGACTGCCCGCGCAAGTCACCAATACGTGCCGACCGATAGAAAGTGATGAAAACAAACAGCCGAATTGTATTGCCTAGACCCTTGCTGCTCTAGGATAGCATTTGATATAGGTGTATTACGTTGCGTAAGGGGTTTGGAGGTGCAAATGGGTGCGAGTATGCTGTGCACTTGGATGTGAGCTTGGCATGACCAGCTCAGGAGCGGGCATGGCCCCAAGGCAGACAAGACAGAGGAGCGTGGGGGTGGTGATGCTCTCGGACAATCAGACCTTTCCGCAATATTGATGGGTTCACTGAAACGGATCTTGACTCAAAGAGAAACATGTCAAAAGGTGCTGATTGCATTTGCTTGCAACCTTGCAAGGTACAGGGTCGGTGCGTACAAACCATGTAGGTTCAACATAAGTGCAGCGGAACATACCCCCCAAGAAAATGCCAACCATTTTAACATCTTTTAACATAAAAAGCATGTGTGTATTTGCAGAGTTTTGTAGCTGTTTTGGGGTGTATGGGTTTGAGGCTGATTCTTGGGTTGGCGGGGTACAATCTCTACATATGGCTACGGCCAGAAACATAAGGCTTGGATCACACACCCAAACCCACCCATGGGGTATGGATCAAAAGGTGGGTGTGTGATCCAAGCCCTTGGATCACACAACCACCACCACCACTACTACAACCACCTCTCCTGCCAGCACTCCTTCTGCTACTGCCACTGCACTTGCCACCTTCTGCTACTACTGCAACAGCTTTACTGCTGCTGCCACTGCTACTCACTACTATCACCAGTATTACCACCACCACAGCTTTAGCGAAAGCCAAAAATTAATTACCGGAAGCCACTAAGTGTGATCACAGCGGAGACTTGCACTCTCACACTGTCGAAGTGAAGAATTGGAAACCGACGCTTTTACCATTAGGCTATGCAACCCTTTGAGTGGAGAAGCCAACCCAAATACCCCATATTAAAGAAGGTGCTAGAACACAATATTAAGGCCAACAGAACTAGCGGCAGCCACTAGCCAGTATTCGGAGTGAGCCTCCAATCTAGAGCTGAAGCCACCACCCGTCAAATGTCTTGAGAGCCCACTGAGTCACCAATATGCGTGGCCAGCTGATGGCCTTTTTGGGCTTCTTGCATCGTCTGCTTGAGTTGGAGGAAGAATGTGCCCCAACACTCATTGCCGCCGCTCTGTGCCAAACCAATATGTGGACAGTGGCGCCCAAATTCACAGCGGCCAGAACTTCAAAACAGGCTTGCCACAAACAGGATGGCTTTGATCTGGGAAGCCACCACCTTCACAGTTCACAGTGAATTGGTGAGAAAGTGGTGGGGTGAAGTGCCACCATGCAGATGTGTTCATGTCGGGGGCTTGGATCAAGTGACTTGTCGGTTTGATCCATAGGGCTTGGATCAGCGCTCTGATCCATAGGGTTTGGATCACTCTCACTGCAGCGCGGAACGATCCATACCAGGGTTTCTGGCCACACCCATATATATTATATATATAGTTATATTAAGTAGTTATCTTAAGTATGTATATATATATATACATAATACAAATATGTCGTCAAAATCTCTTGATGTCACAATGCAAAGTTTGCAACGTTTGCAAACGTCTTGGATTCAAGATTCAAAGATTTGGGGGAAAGCGTCTTGAATATGAGCCTTGAACGCCTTGAACCACGTTGCTTTAGCTGATCCATTCAGGTCATCTATAGATTACACACATGGAAAACGGTGCTAGATGAGCAAGTGACCAACTGACCACATCGGTTGGAGACAGGTACACGCTGATGGATATGCTGGGCCCGCAGTGCATTTGATCTCGGAAGAGAGCCGATTTGTCTTTTACATGTTGGAATTATGGTTCTTCATGTTCCACATTGTAAGTATTGCAGTGTGCACTCTTAGGTAGTGCTCTTGATGTTCTTTGGCTGCTTGATCATAGGCGCGGCTGGTGAAAAACTGATGCTTTATTGCTGAACATTTGCCCGGAGGAACCAAGCGTAAATGTTGTATACATATATATATATATACAATACAATCAGAACACCTCAAGCACTCCTTCTGTCGAATTTGCCAACCTGGTCTTCTAGTATATACATTTTCTGAATGGGCCTTGACCTGTACTGTACGTGTCTAGGGCAGGCAGGTTTACTTTCAATGTCATTTGCTTCAAACGAACACCGAGGTGCTTCGTTGATGCTTTTGCTGGATCGGTTTGCACCGGCTGTGCCCTACACCGTTGCCATGTGGCAGCCTCAACATGATCAGATCTGATTTTGGACCTGTTGACATGGCTCTTTGCGAGAGAAAGTCACGTGGCGAGGGCAGAAGACAAGAGGCAGTTTCGCCTGATGGCAAATCAGGCTGCAACGGCTCATGCAGTTGGATCTGCTTCCGTTCAGTGGATTGCTCAGGTTCTTGGTTGGTGTTGCCTTTGCATGCTGGCACTGGTCTCGCACCCCTACTTCCACCATCAGCTGGCATACATGGTTCAGATCTGTGGATACCTTAGAGCTGTGTACACTGTGCTTGCTGCACAGTTGCTGCGTGCCACTGAGTGTTTTAATCTTGTCATTTCTGCATTGCTTTGAGCTGGCTCTTTCTCGCGGATTTTTAAATTATGCTTGTTCTTGAGTGTGTTCTTATCCTCAACAGACTCTTTAGAATCATGTTCCACATTTGCCTCCAGGAGTAGACTTCCTAACCGGTCCTAGTACTAAACTCCCCCAAAGACGAAAAATGTTCTTTCTTTGCGCAGGTGGAGAAGTGGGAAAGTATCAATCCGCATTTGCTTTTCTACAGCTTTTTGCCTCCTTTGATTTTCAGCGAGGCTTGCGACTGGACCGGTCCATATACTGATGTTGTGTTCTTGTTTTGCCAAATGCAAGATCAATTTTCTGTACTGGTAGGACTTGGAAGCGAAAAAGGCTTAGCAGTTTTGACTTGACTTCGATGTGCGTCCTGAAAATGCGTCCAGGCCATGAAGCTCAACGTGCGCTTGGTACAGAAGTGTTTTGCACAGGTAGAAACAGGGCCATGTCGTCATGCCTCTAAGGTAAATTTGTTGAATTCTGTAGATACAAGCAATGACTCTGACGCAATATCAAGCCTCAGTCTCAAGCAGCTTCAAATTCCACTCAATGATGCTTTAAAAGTGCATAAATTATAGAGCCTGGCATGTTGGATTGCATGTCGTTCATTGTTGCTTTGAGTGGATTGAAATGCTTTGAGAGCAACTGGGCTGGCCTGGTCACAAGTTGCAAACCAGTAGGAGCCAGTCAAAATACCACCCTTGACTCTCAACATTGGCCCAACTCATTCAGGAATACAGGTTACTGGGCTATTAGCTTTTTGTGTTCCTGTTTCATCAACAAAGATGATAAAGGGCCAACTGCGCTGTGTGTCAATTTATAAAAGTGTTTAACGCAATCCCAATAAACTTTGGCTTATTCAATGAACCGGCTCACTCTACGGCTTCTCCTGGTTGATGCACAGGAAGCTTTTCAAGACCAAGCATCATAAATCGAGGTTTCTGCTGAGAAAGCGCAGTTTGCAGACTGACTTGTGTTTTGGAAACTGATGACATGCAAAGTGAATTCTTTGTCCTAGGTCCTAGGAGGCCTTCGGGCACTTTCGTGCGTCCACTTGACCATCTACTGTAAGATCTTTGCTGGAACATGAGCCAGACGTCAAGTAAGTCATCCTGTGTGTGTGTGTGAACTTTCTGACGCCAGCAAAAAGCTTGGAAGAAAGTGTCTATGTCCAAGGTCCTTCTCCCGAGCCTGTCCACCAACTGTTGAGAACGTTCCCCCTCCGCCAAACCCTTAACAAATCTATTTCCACGCCCAAAGTAGCCCCCGAACCTGCTCGGTCAGCCTGTCCGCCAACTGTCTCCAGTCCAAGTCCACGTCAACAGCCTCCTGAACCCCCTCCTCGGCCACACCCTTAACCAATCTATTTCACATGGTCCCCAGTCAGTGCCAATGTGAACCGTCATCAAGTCCTTCTCCCAAGACTGTCCACTGTCCCCTTACATACATGGCCCCGAAGCTTTTCGCTCAGTGCGAATCGTCGCTTTCTGACGTCAATGAAAGGTCTATGTCCTTATCCGAGCCTGTCCGCCGACCGCCTCAAGTCCAAGTCCACTTCAACCGCCTTCCACACCCTCAACCAATCTATTTCCACGCGAAAAATGGTCTCAGCTGTCCCCGCTCACTGCCAAAGTGGCTTTCTGACGCCGGCCAAAGTCGATTTCTATTTCGGCCCCTGACGGCACTCAATGCCTGCAGGCTTTTTGCCAGTTTACTGCCACCAAAGCAAACTTCCAAGCCCCCTCTCCCGAGCCTCACCCCACTTCGGCTGGGTTCGGCGGGATATGCAGCCGTAGCGATTGGTGGCCGACGAACCACACCACTACCGTTCTGTTCAGGAACCATGGCAAATTTGATTGCAGGTGTTCCTCCTTGCATGTCCTGGGGTCCTATTGGGCACTACATTGGTAGCTACTGTGGCGAGGCGGGCCAAGGGGAGAGAAAAGTGGGAAAAGTGTCATTGCTATGGCATGTTACCATCCTCCTAAAGCATATTGATTTTGGGGGTACTGTTTGTCTATTTTGTAGTGTTCTACCAGGTTCTTTCACTTCGTCATTCGATGGAAGGTTCCTGCTACCGTACGACTGGTCTTGGGCAGTCTCCTTGACCTTTGGTGCAGCGCATGCCTCAAAAAAAGGAAAGACCGAAGAAAGACACGGGGAAACACAAAAATTATGTCTACAGAAAGGAAAGTAAGGCCTCCTTTAAAGGGCCCTTGCCTTCCCTTCATCTCATTTTTCTTGTGTTCAATTTGTTTCCCGTGTGTACTTCCTCCTCGTTAGATTTCGCCCTTGGCAGATTTAGGAAAACTGTCGCGCTCTGACGAGATGCAGCAAACCTGAGGTATTGTCTGCCACCGATCCCGTCGCAGTTGTCGCGCTCTTCTCTACGCTTGGAGTGTCACCCAAGTTGACAATGCCTCTTGGATTGTACGCGTTCCACCTAGGAGGGGAGCCAAACCGGGCCTAACGAGAAATATACGAAGACTTTAGAGAAGGAAAATATTTGAACATATAACAGGCTCAATTGATGCAAATGTGAATATATGATAATATTTGCAAGTGATTTGCCACGGGAATGGGAAAGGCTATTCCTATGCTAGCAGCCAATGCAACGACTGGTTTCAACTTTCATTGCATCTCTAGTTTGTATAATTTTGTGTATATATATACATAATTTGATTGAATATACGCAATGCCGCAATACTTGTAATTATGCGTTTGCCTGTGTCACGCGGCTGCTTCTGGCTTAAAAGTATAAACATCTAGATCAAGGTCACAATTCAATTTACTCATCCACAGAAGCAGTTGAGTACATCAGTACATTCCCACAATTTGCGGGTTTGGTTCCAAAGGTGTAGAAATTCCATTTCGCCATGGACGGCAGCGACAGCATTCGCCGTTTGGAGGACTCACGCTGAGTTGGAAATGCGGCGGGACATAGGATTGCTAATACCGCTACTGCTCCTACTACTACGACTACGACTACGACTACGACTACTACTACTGCTACTACTACTACGACGACGACGACGACCACGACCACTACCACTACCACTACCACTACCACTACCACTACCACTACCACTACCACGACGACTACGACTACGACTATTGATACTACTGATACTACTACTACTACTACTACTACTACCACTACCACTTCCACTTCCACTTCCACTTCCACGACGACGACGACGACGACTACTACTACTACTCCTGCTGCTACTGCTACTGCTACTGCTGCTGCTGCTACTACAATGACGACGACGACGACAAGCACCACAACCAAAACTAGTCCACAAAGTGGGTGGAACCGGCGCCGGCGCGTGGAACCCACAACAACCATAACCACAACACAACCACCACCACCACAAGAACGCAGCACACAACACACAAACTGACAACACAACGCAACAATATAGTTACCTGTGTGTGTGGCATTTTGCGTGGCAGGTGGTCACAGGGTCGCATTTTTTGGATAGAATGCCAGCTGTAAGCCGTGGGGACACCCCGACAAGAACTCCCCAACACTAAAACAGCAACCCCAAACCCGAGGACGTTTAAGCCAAATCAAGAACCACAAAATCCACCCCCATGCATGGCAACATGCTCTTCACCATGCCATGAGAACAACTGAATGACATGTCATGGTGTGGACCACTCAAAGTAAAATAATTGTTGCATCAGGTAGGCAAGGTACTTGGAATGCCAAACGAAGAAAACCTCTGGTCTTCCTTGCACCAACTCCAAAAGAGCAAGAGTTGTCAACTACCGAAAGTTTCAAAGTCATGTGCTATTTGCATCTATTTGCAGGAACAGTTTGCGAAGCAAACTAAGCTGCTGGAGGCAAGGGGTGTTGACTGCTGTGTTTGCTTTGGACGATGCTTGTCCAGGGCGTTCAAAGGCTATTCAGTCGAGCCGAGGATGTCCATATGTTGGTGAAAATAACAAATGCGACGCTTGCAAGCATGACAAGTTTCTTGGATGCAACCAGCACGGCAAAGGCAGTGTGCCTCCCCACCTATTTGGGGGTAACCCTAGTGGAAAGTCTAAATTATGGGTTCAATTAAACGTGATTCTACTGCTTCAAAATGTTTGTTCAATCAGTGTTTTGGCCATTTTTTGCCGATAGTGCCATCGGTCCACTGCCAAGATGTATGCATCGATTGTTGACATTTTTTGCTGAGCCCAGTGGAGGATTCCAATTTCAACCGTTTGAGGCGTTGACTGCCTTTCCCGTCAGATGTCACCTTTCCCAGACGACGAGGAGCGACATGATGCTGCATGTGGGCAGGTTGTGCGGCCGCGTGTGGTCAGAACCAGCGAGCACATTTGTTTGCATCACATAGTGAAAATCGTTTGATGGTTTTGGAAGTTACAAAAAGCCGCGCATACTATATTGCATCCAGGGACAAAGTCTTGAAGCTCTTCTTTTCGAGGGAACACAACAAAGGCATAAAGCTGACAGCTCATCATTTTGACCCCAGGGCGTATCCTTGGCTCTCCAGGTCCATGTTCAGGTCACTTTCGGATCTTTGGGTGATGCCTCAATCGCACAGCAACCGATTTAGTAAAGTGCTTTGGGCATCTCCGTGCTGTGTTTCCTGTAGACTCGGCCAGCTGGACCTAAAGCATTTTCAAGTATCTCTTCGGTCCAAATAGAATTTGCAGAAGCTTCATTTGTGTAGACGAGCTGCAACAATAGCAAGTGTTGAAACACAGGAATTAATTGTAGGTTGTGGATGAACTGAAGATATTTCAAGGAGTTTGCATGCAATATCAAGGTTCATTTCTATCAAGACACACCTCTTTGCACATGTGTGGCCTCGTGCTGCAAGGTCCAGAAAGTAGAATTATCTATCTCTGTAGGCGAATCCTGGGAAGCTTGGTGAAAACTTTCAGGGAATGGAATGATCGAATGATCGGCAAACATCTCACAAGAGTTGTTGGCAAAGAAGTGTTTTCTTGCATATCCAAATGATTGATCTAGATGTAAAGCAGGCTGTGGCTTGTTTCAAGGCTCAGGTACTTGATCTCCCTTTTGCGCCACCTGTATAACCCTCCTTAGCATTACATTGGAATGTAGCGGGCATGAATGACACGCAAACACCGCTACAATAACAAGCGCAACAATGCTTTGCTTACTCTCCGCCTTCTGAATCAAGACAATGACGGAACTTGTTTATTGCACAAGCTAAGTTGGGAAAACCCTTCAGCGATCAAGCAGATTCAGACAACGTCATCGCTGAAGCAGCATCTTCCAAAGCCTTGCTTGGTCTGTCGTTTTGTTTCAACATCGTCGACTTGCCAAGGATTCTTTGATGCAGGATGGGCAGCTTGATGATCACCAAAAGAAGGAGCCTCGTTTGGGTGATGTTCTGGTATAGTTCCACGAAGACAAGTTATACTCCAATCTCAACCACTCTACTGATGGTGCCTAAATAGGATGCTACTCAACCAAAACGCCATGGTTCTAATCCGGCGTTGTCGGAACCTTACTTTGAGAAATGCAACTGCCACATTCACAACCAAGTTGATGAGGCCGAAGTTGGACTCACCTTATAAATGTCGCAACAGAGCTTCAATGTTGAGAAAGTAAGATGTTTTTTGCATAATAGAAAGGGAGCAGAGGTGTATATATTTGAAACGACCCGTGGGTTAAAACGAAACACCGGATGCGTGGTTTTGAATGTAGTGTTTCGGCTGCAGCTCATGAGCCACCAGGCCCGCAGTCCCGGGCGGCACTCGGCCGGGTGGCTTCTGTCGTGGTGGACGCGGACACCACTGACGAGCACCGAACGTACATCGCAAAAGTGCTCGAAAGAGCATACTCAAAAGATCCTCGAGAAGGGTCTACAACTCCTCCGGCGCGAGCGAAGGGCTGCGGAGGAGGAGGCCGCGGGAGTGGAAGGCCACACCACTCAGCCCGCAGAGCCAGCTGCAGGGCCTAGCAACGAGGACAAGGAGGTGAAGGGCTAGCCAGAAAGAAGAAGAGGCCACAAAAAAGAAGAAGAGGAGAAAGAAAAAGCAGCAGCCTGAGGAAGAGATTGCCACTTAGAAGGACGATTTGCCGCCAGCCGAGATTGAAGAGAAGGAGACGACGAGTTATCACTCCCCTACCATAATGCTTGAGGGCGAGGAGAAAGCTGCCAAGTCAAAAGGAAGGTCACCTACACCAGAGACTCTCGCAGAGGGGCACGTGCACCGCTGCCCAGGAAAGTTGCAAAGCCCAGTTCAAAGCCCATCGAGACGCAGAAAGAGAAGAAGGTGAGGGAAAGTCCAAAAGGCAAGAAGACTGAAAGTCCCCGCCTGGTGTTGAAGCCCAAAGCAAAGCCCGAGAGGAGAAGGTCTCTCCTGATCATCCAGCCCCTCTTCCTGGTCGACCAAGCCGTGGCCAATTGTGGATTGGACCTATCAGGGCTTTCAAGAATAAGCCTACGGCCAAGAAGAAGAAGAAGAACAAAGGGGTGAAGAAAGAGCTCAAGAACGAGCGCTACTGGGAAAGGAGACGGCAACGGGCTTGGGAAGAGAGGAATCGAGGCTACAGAAGGCGCTGAGGCAGCCAGCAGTTGCAGCAGTCAGAAGAGGAGCACCGAGAAGACCTGAGGTGCTCCTATTGCAGCTGGCGGCGGATGGCAGAAGGCGGGAGAGGTAAGCACAGATGCCCTCCTGGGTTGGTCATGGGCCAACGGGTGTAGAAGCTATGCCCTACCATGGCCATGATCGCGGAGGCCAAGGAAGCTCTGCTTCCGCAGATGGGCACAGCATCGGAGCCAATGGAAGGGGCTGCACCGACCATCGTGACGCAATATGTGAGGCAAGTTCTCATGCTGTGGAATTTTGACGACTATCCATTGGAAGATCCTCCGAGGACGACGCCTTCGTGTTCGTTTCCTGCACCTCACGGACAGTTTGGTGCGCCTGCACGCTCTGACGCGGGGTCGAAGTTCCAGTCGGAAGCTTCGGAAGACCGTACAACGCTTGAACGCCTATCTCCTCGCAGCTGACCTCCATCCCTTTTGGGGATATATACACACTTCGCAAAATCCCGCTGACCGTCCGAGTCAGCGGCCTATGCGTCGCAAATGGGCAAAGTAGGAAAGCGAGCGTTAGAAGGTCAGACGTGCGAAGATAGGCATTAACGGTCTCTGAAAAGACCCGTGCCAGGTATGATACTGCTTCCTCCAAGTTTTTCCGATGGCTGGACAACAATGATCTAACTCTTCCGCGAAAGCGGGAGCAATTGGATGGGCTCCTGGCGGAATTTGTCGAACATTTTTGGTCCGAAGGATGTGGTCGAGCGCAGGCATGTGATACTCTGGCAGGACTCCGAAACTCAAAGGGCGCCTACAGCTGTCATGGCGACTGTTGCGTACATGGGCGACTTTGGTGTCTCCCTCTTGGTGGGCTTCTAC